TCCTTCCTTCCTTCCTTCCTTCCTTCCTTCCTTCCTTCCTTCCTTCCGTCCGTCCGTCCGTCTTGGAATCCCCATCCATGCTAGGTGGAAATTCTGAGAGTTGCACGTGGGGAGGGTGTTGCGCAATCTTCCTTTGCAATTCTGATTAGTCTTGGGGTTTTATGAGTCCCACTTATTTTGCAGGCACACTTCTTTCTCTCTTCTTGATCACGTAAGCAAGCTCCCCTAGTGGCTTTGATCAGTCATTTGCGAGGGACATTGACCGGGCATCTTGATGGAAGTGATTTTGCGCAGCTCTTTATGACTTTATGAAGGGAGAACATGCACACCACACTCCGTGGGACTCCTTTTCCTAATTGCCTTTAGGCACTAGTTAGAAGAGCTAGAATCTTTTAGTCAGCTGTGAGCACCCAGAGTCGCATAAGTTACAAAGCTTTAATGAAATGGAAGGTGCTTTGGCCTCATTTTCACTCACACGCTCATTCTTCTAACCACTCACTTTGCTTGTGCAACCAAAGTTGGCCAAACATCTGGCTCTATCCGGGTAGAGAAACTTTGCTGGAATCTTTTGTTTCAGGTCCTTCTTAGTCTTGCTGATGGATGGGCTAATTGCCTTACACAGACTTGATTTCCTGCTTTCACTTTAAATGTTTCTCTCTCCAGCCAGCATCCTCACTGCTCCAGGACCTGTTTTTCTGTCCCCAAGAGTTTTGGTACGCCGAGTACCTGATAAGACGTCGATGTGCCACCCTTGCTTCCAGAGAATGGCATCTCAAGCTGGCTCTAGCTCTTTTACAGCCTTCTTTTAAATTTTGTCACAAGGGGAGTCTGGCCCACAGGATAGCTGGCTTGGCTAGTGAAGTGGAAGAAAGCCTCAGGCTACCTCGCCCAGAGACATTTTCTGCAATGTCCTACAGGCGTTGTCCTCCAAATGTGTCTTTACAATATCACAACAGAATCTCTCCCTAAAAGGTTCCTGGTTCCTCCCTGCTCTGAATTTTCTTGCATTAACCCAAGTAGCCTTTCATGTCAGGAAAAATGTTTTGTCCTGTTTTTTGGCTGTTCAGACTGCACACTGCAGGTTGGGGGCAACGCCCTGACCCTTGATGAGGTGAAAAATCTCTACGGAGATAAAAAGAGCATTTCAGAAATCTAGGTCTGAACCTTTCTCAAGCAGAAGAGACCAAGCAAGAAAGCTGGGTTTAGCAATTACTTGGTAGAAACATTCCGTTTTGTTTTGCTTTTTTCGAGTTGTTGATCTGAATAGAAAATGAAAGGGAAATTCCTATAAAATGAATCTGCCAAGGCAAAAACGGTTGATTCCTTGGTTGCCTCAGTAGAGCAATGGAGACAGTACCCATGAATTCCTGTGACGAAGACCAGGAAAGATGTCCGTATCAAGAGAAGGTGGGATGCAGTTCATAGGAGGGTCCCTGTGGGAGGAGAATGAGCCCTCCATAGAAAGGGGAGGGCAGCGTTTGTTTTCACGTCACCAGTTATGGTAAATACAGCCATTTGTTTGTGGCATCCTTGGGGTTCTCTGAGCTTGGTTCTTTTCTTGCAAACGTTTCATTACCCGGCTAGGTGACATCTTCAGTGGTAAAATGGGATGGGGTTTGCTCTGTTTATATACTATGGCATGCCCTGCCAGTGCTGGTGGGGGTGGGGGTTTGGTTTTGCTCCTCTGGTAGTTCCTTGAGTAGGGTATTGTCTACTGCTTGCTTGTGTGCCTGGTGGTAACCTCTGCTTATCTGCAAACAGTAAACAATACCCTAATCAAGGAACTACCAGAGGAACAAAACCAAACCCCCACCCCCACCAGCACTGGCAGGGCATGCCATAGTATATAAACAGAGCAAACCCCATCCCATTTTACCACTGAAGATGTCACCTAGCCGGGTAATGAAACGTTTGCAAGAAAAGAACCAAGCTCAGAGAACCCCAAAGACGCCACAGTTCAACCCTGAGCTACACATATTCGCCTCTGTTGGAGCTATTTGTTTACCTTCACAAGGAAAGGAGAATAGCAGATGATTCATAAAATAGCGTTGCTTTGAAGACACTCTGGAGGGGGAGACTGGTTGATCCCTTCTCCAGGGCCACCATCCTGAACCTGCCTTCCCAGCTTCTCTGGGTCCTGTCTCTAGGTCACCCAGAAGTGTGAAGGGACGCTGGATGGATTGGACGAGATGGACGCTTAGCTGTGAACACCAGCTCTTGTTCTGCATCTGTGATGACAGAAATGGAGCCAAAGATGGTGATAGTGGTGGTTAGCTGAGATCTCTGAAGCTTGCAGAGATACAGAAATCCCTTTATTGAGCCACTCAACAAGCAAGTCCTGTTGCAAAAGCAAAAAGATTGGACATGCTCATTAGATTCCAAAATAGTGAAATATTGCTAGTTAAAAAAGGCAGGGGAGGTTTACCAAGCCTAGTTTCTGGAATTCTTTCCAAGCCCTTGATAGAAGCTCTGCTCTGCATCATGCGACCAAGAAAGAGGAGGAAGGAAGGCTTAGAATGGAGCAGCTGCCAACATTCAAAGCCACAGCCCACTGTTCCTCCCATGTGATGCATGGAGCTGGGGAGCCCCTCTATGTCCCCCAGGCAGATCTGGTCCATTTTCAAACTTGGTCTTTTTATGACCAGCTTCCCTCTTCCCCTGCCCCCCCGCCTTCCAAATTTGTGTGATTTTGCACAACTCCCATTAGCCTCAATCCCCACATCTAATTGGTCAGAAAAGAGGGCTTTGGATCCAAAAGACGCTGGGGAAGGTTTATCCCAAGGGAAAGAGAGAGGGTGCATACCATGGTGACAAAGGACCATTTGCCGGGAATTTGCTCAGCAAATTCCCAACTTCCTAGCCAAGGTTAGAAGCCTTTGGCCGGCTTGGGGCGTGCAAATACTTGCCTCTCATGCTTTTTTCTCTAGCAGTCCCAGTTCTAAGTGAACCAAGCAGTGGAGGAACCACATTTTTAATGAATAGAGTGAACAGCCCTCTGTCTTTAGTATTGCAAAAAGCTGAGTGCAAGAAGGGAGCGTAGCATCTTTCATAAGGCGAAACTAGCTGGATCACACCTCTGCTCTATTCTTGTGGGAAATCCACAAGAAGGATTTTCTCTTGCATGTTATTTCCAGCCACTGATAATCGGAGGCGTATTGCCACTGAATGAGGAAGTTGCATTTATGTAACCCCGCACAGTTTTCCTTTCATCTGAGATTGTTGAAAGTAAAAACAAGGTTTTAAAATGCAGTGTATTTTAAACCTCTGATGTCAGAAGTGTATATAACTGGTGTCAGTGGTCCTTTCTCTTTTGCCTCTTGACCTTCTGTTTAGGATCCTTATTTTGCTAGGAGCTCCCATTCCAACAGGATAAAACTATTACGTTTGCAAAAATATCTGCTGGAATAGAGAGATTTTGGGATCTCCTTCAGTATCTCAAAAATCTCCCAGGAGTTTGTCAGCTAGGAATTTCCCCACTTTTAGAAGATAATATGCCTTCTGTGAAATGAATCCCATAAGATTCCAGCAGAAATTTGTTATATATTAAAAAAGAAGAAGACTCCGCTTTCATTTTATTTCTGCTTTATTTTTTTAAACGCTTTCCTCTCTGAAGAGCTTGGGGCTCATGGTGTAGTTTATTGATATTTCATGTTATTGTCCCCAGAGTCCAGTGATGTAGGTCAGGCCCACAATCTCAGCCTTTTCATAACCTGGAACAGAGGATTTGCATCTGATTTTTATTGCAATTATAGCTAGATGACCCGTGCAAAGGAGGTCATTGAATGGTTTATTTGCCGGAGTGGGATTATAACCAGACACAGTTTTGTCATGCAAATATGAGGGAAGATATATATGCCAATTTTTCTTCTGCCTCTTAATTTGTGTGTGTGTGTGTATGTAAGTATGCTTTGCTGGAGGGGGTGTGTGTGCATGTTAATTGACTTTCTCTTCTTTCAAGAAAATAATATTGTTACCAAGGCAGAGATCACCCCACCACCACCTTGGTTGGGGCAAGATCTACCTGTTGAAGACTGAGGAGTATGGTTAATTTCCTTGTTGGACTTAAAAGTATTTTTAAACTGTGGTGTTTGTGTTGAAGAGCTCAGAAAGCATATTAGCAATGAGACTTTCCCTGCCCTTCTGGCTTATGGTCTTAGACGTGATGCACTGGGGAAAAGGGATGAGAAGAAAGGGATGAAGAAACCAGGCTTAGACAACACAATTAATGTCCCATTCTTTATCAGAGGAGGATCTTTCCCCAAAGTCCCTGTGTGCATGATAGGAGGAGTTTAAAAGGGTGCCTTAAGCCTGGCTGGTGCTTAAGGAACTTACTTCACTCATAAAAATCACGCCCCCCCTCCCTTATTTCCCACGCTCTTGCCTTCTCGCAACCAGCTGGAATGGGCAGTTGAATAGCTCTTAAATTGAGGTGCAAGGATTGCACCAGTGGTTGCCTAGATGCTGCTACATAGTCCATAAACAGACCCTGGCGTTTGCTCTGTTCTGTCTTCCTCTGCTTAGAAATGTAGCTTTTGTCTGGAGGAACTTGGAAATCCCAGTTAGTTATTATATCCAATTACTATTATTTCCAGTGAGCTCCATAAGTTGCTGTCTAGCAAGCCTCAACTGAACCTCCTGCCAAAAATACATAAAGCTTTGCTCATTGGAGTGTCTTCCTGGAGCAACATTTTCTATCAACGGATGACACAGCGGGCAAAACATTGGCTGTTGGACCAGCCCCTTGTGTCCATTGAGGATGTGCCCCTCCATCCTTACCTA